GGTTTGACACATTTATAGCCTGAACAACAAAATCAAAGGTTACCCCCACCCCCTTCCAGCCTTCCTTCTTGAATCCAATCCTATAAAAATGTTACTTTGCATTGTCACCTATAAAACCATGACCCAGAAAATATTCCTCCTTAAGCTTGCAAACCTTAACCTCACTTGAAATCCTATATGACCAATATTCTCTTTATTTTTCTAATCTTCTTGAACCCTCCACTTCATACCGTAAAGGGAAGAAGAACTCTATGGGATTGCAGAGCAGAATTAAGTAATATTATTATCCTTGAAAAGGCTTCCTTGACTATTTCAACCTATTGAGAACCTTCATAAATAAATGCTTAAAGATATGGATATCCCAAAAGGTTAAAGGTTAAAGGTTAAAGGTTAAACTAGAGTTTAATAATGAGCAGGGAGCCAGAGAGCATTATACCAACCTCACAAGGCAGATTAAAGACAGCCTATTGTATGAAAGAAGAAGAATGGTCTCAAACTCTCAATAAGCAGAATCCATAGACCATTAAAGCAACTCAAAAATTGACCTTAAAACGTATACACTAACTCACTAAGCATACCAACCTTAAAAATAAAAAACCCACTACAGCTATCATCACATTGATATGAAACAAAGCAACTTTTTCTAAGACGTCATTTTAAAAAAAAAAATAATAATAATAAATCAACAACTGCCTTCTTAAACAGCTCTGCTTCACAACATTTAACTACTTATTAGCAATGAAAACTGGTGAGCTAGTTGAAGAATCTTACCCCTAAGAGCATTCCCAACAATGAGCAAAAATTGGATTCCTCATTCTCTCTACCCACTTTCTCTCTTTTCCAACCCATGAGCATTTTTGCGATCATATTTTTATCCCACCAATGATCTAAAAAAAATTCTTCCCCATTCTCTCTCTAGTACATCTTCTCTCTTACTTTTACTAATACCCTCTTATATTTCTCTCTACTATATTATTTTTAATTCTTTTTCTTACTTGCATTGTGGATTCCACATAATTACTAATCATCTTAAAAAATGCTCATCCTATGAGCAATTTTCATTTTGCTCATGAGCATTTTTACTTTTGCTCATTGATGTAAGTCGTTTTTGTTTTAATTTCACCCAAAGTTTTGCTCATGAGTTTTTTTTTGCTCATTGTTGGGAATGCTATAATAATCGAAACAAAAAATCCTCTGCCATGGAAGCTAATCTATCATATAAAGCTTAGAACTGGCGTAATAAGTCCTAATATTTTTCCCAACGTAACCGGTAAAAGGTAACTTGGTATTTGCAAAATTTCACACCTAAATCAAAGAACTAGAAATTTTCAGGCAACTAATTACTCATCATTGATGGGATTTACGAATTTCCATTGAAGGCCTCAACCTTGTAACTGTTGAAAGTTGTCCACTTCTTTTTTTATAGTAAAAACAGCTTCGCTCTGTTCTCCTACAAATTTCAACCTAATCATGCCACATTATTGCATGAACTAGATACCACAAGAAACTCCCTTTTTCGTATCACATACAGTATCTTCTCGCAAGTAAGTACATTGGCAGGAAAAGAAATGCCAGATATATATCACTATGATATCAACTCACGGTCACCAACATTAATTATTATGGCCTTCTTGAGGTTTGAACTCGGTTATTGACATTGCGCTTTGGACTTATGATGCAGTGGCCTTTCGTTCCTTTTTTATTCTACTTTCTGGCATTATCAACACACTTTTCTTGCCTTTATCGTAGTTGAAAGTTGGTGATGTAAGATTTTGACGGTTTACGTATCTATCAAAACACAATTTACAGGGTAATAATAAAATGGATCCAACCTGAGCTCTGTAAATTCACACTTAACTTTCCTGCGCTGTCTACTGTTCTTCTACCTGTCAACATCATTTAAACTCATTCAAAACATTCAAACACCGTAAATAATCCACCAAAGCCTAATGCTGTATATTTCAATTCACCCCCATCTCAAGATTACTTCTTCTTCCATGTACAAATCTTTACAAAACCTCAACATTTTTTCCAATTCCTTAGTTGTCCTAAAGTCACAATCTTTAAATATTAATATCACCAGATTTATCATCCCTCCAAACAAAAAGCGTCCCAATTACACTCTTAACACACTACAACTACACTACCAAGCACCATCCCTCATATTTCCCCTACAATATATGATGGAACTCAGATGATCCACGTGATCTCCAAGACTCCAACATTAAGAATGTAGGATGAAATACACTAATCATAGAGACTACAGTCTACTAGAAGACCATCTTGAGTAACAGGCATCAATCAATCAAGAAGAAAATAATTCGGGAAAACTTCGGGGAAATTTAAGTGAATGTGCCATAAAAGGTGATAAATCCCCTAATGTCAGACTCCTAAAAAAAGGGATTGAAAAGCTTAAAATTAATTATTGATCACCTAAATTCTCCTTCCCAACTAACCACCACCACCACACAAACACACACACACACACATAGGAGGGAAAAAAAGAAAGAAAATAAAAATGATCCACTATTCAAAAATCTTTTCCACCAATTAATCTAAAAATAAGTCAAGGACCACCCAAACTATAAGATGACTCCAGTTGTACAATAACCTCAAAATTGGAAATTGACACCTTGATGAGTGAAAACTAAATCCTCAAAAAAATCAATAGGTTTCTTGTTAACCAAGAACACCATTAATTTGCGACAAGCTAAACTTTTACGTCCATTTTTAGGCAACATGAACACCTATTAAAAAAAAACAAGGTATAAATCACTACAACCAGATTGATTTTAAATTCCAGAACCCAAAGACAAAAGACTAACAAAAAAGAAGATAATTTAATAAGATTTTAGAGCCATTCGTCAGTCCCCAAGACCAAAACACCTCCTTTGTTTTTACCCAAAAAGATAGAATATTTCATAAAATATCACCAATTTCATCAACAAATTATAGCTTTCCAGTTATATAAGCTACAAGATACATACTATTGGGCATTCTGGGTCCAATAACATAAATACTTGCATAGATTATTTTCTCTGTAGAGTGTCAACAAATAGACAAGTAAGAAATGTGTCCATATTCCTCTCATATATCCACCTAAGAGAAACTTTAATCTCAGGACAAACTTGTTTTGTATAGCAATTTAAAATCTGACCACATTCTGATAATACCAATATTACCACCTCCTTGAACATACAGATCCTAATCACCATGTTAGCACCCCTCATTATGTTGTTACATATACAGTGTGCAATTGTTAGAATCTCTGCCTCCTTGGCCCTTACCTCTTGATAGCTAACCTTTATATCTCCAAATTCAACTACGGTATATCCTAGTACCTGAAGAAGTATTTTTAACCCAAAAGGCAATAAATCATGATGGGTTCACTACTAAGTGATGTTGTCACAGTGTCATATATTAATTCACCATAAATCACTATGTTACTCGGACTCTTTATCTCACCTCAAGTACCCGTGTCGGACCTTTGACTCGGACATGGGTAGGACACTTAAACACTTCATTTAGTTCAAAATCATGGAAAAATTTCACAAAATAACCGAGTCAGACACTTAGAGAAACATGGATACCCGGGTCCGATTAACATAGACAAAGCACTGAGAAAATAAAATTGTTTTTAAAAAAAAATCAAGAAAGCATAATGATCTCCATCCATATCTAGCAAGCACTATACCACAAGATCAGGTGCGATCAACAATCTCCTATAGACAATTAAACACAAAGTCCAAAATCAACACCAAAATGGGAACTTAATGATCACCTACCCATGCATTCTCATGCTTCCATCCACTTCCCCATCCACCAAAAAAAAATAAAGATTTTAAGGAGAAGAAATTACCAAAAGAGTTTTAAAAATATTCCTAAAAACATCTTAAAAATCACCAGTGTGATTTTTAAAATTGTCTTTACATCTACCCTTTAGGAAGGAAAGAAAATCCTAATAGAACTCAGATTATGAAGTCAATGACTATCCATCAAGAACCTCTACTCAAACAATTCATTCAATATACAATCTTACAAATTTACAGGTTACAAGCTTCAACTCCCAATATCACAAGAATTTAGCTTCCTTAAAGCTTCTTGATGCTAATTTAGATAGAATTAGATGCTCTCTATAAATACCATTTGCAGACCAAAGCACTATAGCATTTAATGATTTAGTCCAACATGTCATTGAGTTTGCAACTCAACACAAGAATAAACTTTAGTATCTAAAAGATAATAAAAGAGATTGATGAAATCAATGCACATCATTCCAATCCATATAAATTTAATTCAACTACATATCTGAAGGGTATACTTCACCTAACACTATGACAACCAATAAGGCTATATACGGTCGTAGCTAAGGAATAAAAGTCAATAAACAAAACCAACACCCCTACAACCACCTGAAAGTGTAACTAGTACGATCATTTGCACAAGGAGACAGAATGGATTAGTTGAAACCACTCATCAACTTTCAGGAATTATGGGGTCAAAAATGTCAAATCCTTATTCCCCTCCCTTGGGTCTGGATTTTCTTGAGAAAAAGACCAAGTAATATAAACCACAGAAAAGATAATACTATATATGACCACTCAAGACAACTATATCTGGCCAACAGCTATAATTTAATAAACGCACTGTAAGTAGCATTTTCAATCCTGTGTAACCATAAAAATGCCCATTGTCAACTGTTTTGTTCCAAAGAGAACCCAAATAGTATAACTGTATAAGACTAATCTGCACTAGATAAACCAATAGACGTAAACTTACATAAGAAAATTAAACTCAAACTAAAATCATAATCGCTGCACTATCCTCTACTTCATATGTAATTATCTAAAATTCTTTCTCATACACTACACTGAAACAATGCAAAACACTAACATTTCACCTTACCTAATCATCACCCTCTTCAAACAACAACTGCCACACATATACACCTCCACACAAATAAGAGCAAAAAGGTTTACGTTTACCATCGTAACAGCATATAAACATAGGAATCAGTCACATAACAAAACATACATTGGTGATCAAAGTCACACATAATCGAGCAAACACCCGAATTCCAGTAGATAAATACAATACTCCATATATAATACATAATTAAGCCACCCACAGCGAATTCAACAATTATCCGAATCGAAAATCTCAAGTTTCACAATTTATAACATCACAAAGGGTAGCTCATCAGTCAAACTATACAACATTATAAGTAAAACCTTAAAGTTTTACCTCACACATCAGCCTCTAGCCTTAAGCTCAGCAAGCCTCCTTGTAAGATCATCCTCATCGACCTTCTCCGACGCCTTAGGATCAGCAATAGCATGTCCAGCAGCCTGAGGCAACCCCACAGAAACCTCAAGACCATAATCATCCGCCACCTGCTGCATCAAACTATTAACCTCGGTTTCGGGTGTCGAAAGCGAAGTACTCCCAGCCATAGAACTCTCCATAAACTCAGCCTGAACCTCCATATTCACAAATTGCTTCTCAAATTGGTCCATTGTTTCCGACATCTTCTGCAAATTACCCGTATTCAAAGACGATTCAAGAGATTTCACAATCGATCCCATGTTCTTCCCAATCATCTGCATCTTCGCCTGAGTATCAAGGCGAGCAACAACGGCGTCAAGGCGAGACGATAATCGAAGGTAGTTCATCTGTTCTGTGCGCTTACGAATGGCGTTTTCGGCGTAAATTCGTGCTCCATCCAGGTTACCTTTCTCGATTGCTTTCTTAACTTTGAGTTTCTCGGATTTCTCGTCTTTCTCGCACTTTCGAGCTTGGCGTTGGAGTGATTTGGAGGTGAATTTGAGCTCCATGATCTGGTTCATCAACTTCTCAGTGTTTCCCATGTTGAAGAAAGAGAAAATTTTGGGGATGATCGGAAATTAGGGTTAGGGTTTTGAGGAAGATGAAGTTTGATTTGCATAGAGAATTGGGGAAGAAGACGAATCGAAAAGTGAGATAGCGTGGTCAGTTCAGTCAAAGATTAGATATTATTGCGCTTGCACTAGGATTTTTTTTTTTTTTTTTTTTTTTTTTGGCTCTAGGATATTAACAAAACGAAAACTTGTGAAGGGAATATAATTTTCATTCAATTATCTATTGTGATTTTTTTTTTCTTTTTTTTTTTTGGAGAAAAAACAGGGGAAGCAATTTCATAAGTGGTTATATCACTAAGACAACAATTTAACCATAGTTGATCTACACCGTAAGGGATTATACGAGTTAGGTGGTGTGCAACAAAATACCCTTCCTGCTTAACATGAGACCATGAAATTGAATCAAAAAAAGTGCAAATATCTAATACATCATCAAGTAAAGAGTCCAAATCTGAGAGATAGGTGGAAGCTTTCGTGAACCTGGTGATAATTGTGCTGCTATCGGATTCAAGAATTATATTCTTGAAACCATGCTACCTTGCCAAACGAACAGCAAAAATTGCGGCTTTACATTCTACGAGCTCATGATTTGTTGATATTATTACATCAATCCATACTTATCTATTAATTGTTTAAAAGTGGTAGAATATAGATTAATTCGTACATGTTAAGGATCGTTCCAACAAAATGGGGCTCATATAATACATGCAACTGAGACATTTACTTCAATCCTTGAAAATCATATACACGTTGTGATACCAATTTCTATTGTGAAGTATCTATGCAAAACACAATAATAATATATTTTATTTTTTTATATTTATAGTTACCAAATATTTTAAAATAAATTAGGAGAAGCTAATAATCAACTTGATGCAATTGCAAATCTTCATTAATTATTCCTCTATACCTAGTGAGTTTCATGGTTTCAACTTTCAAGCATAAAACATTGAATGGCCTAGCAGCTTTGCAAAATTGGAAACTTGCACTTGGGCTCAAAAAACAAGCCAACTAGTGACTAGCTGTGCTGTTTTTGGGCTTATACATACGTATTTGAAACATTGTCTAGGAGAAGAAGAGGCCCAAGTTTAGGTGATTTGGGCTCACACATACTCGATTAATTTGTTCTTGAATTCTTGATGCATAAGAACAAAAGACGGTCAAGACTCACGAGGGAGTGTATTAGTTGAAAATTTGTAATATTCCAATGTTGTGAAGTGAAAAAAATAAAAAAAAAATCGGTGAGTAAATTAATTAATTCTGCCCGTCAAAAAAAAAAAATCAAAACAAAACTGATCGAGTTTGCTCCTCTCCAAATGCATCTACTCTTACCATTAACATCACTAATTATCTATTACGAAATATTTTGAAATAGAAATCATGAACAATTGATATGTGAATTTTTTATTTATTTTTTTTGAAACCATATGTGAATTTTTTATTCAAGAAAATTTTATAGTAATAAAAAAATATCTAAAGAGTAATACACTATTTTAAAAAAAAAACAAAACAAAACAAAACACGTGAATAATGCAAAACTCAAATTAAACTATTTCAATCTAACTTGAAACAATCAGAGCATAACAATTTTTTTTATTATTATTTTTTTTTAGTGTTCCACTTTCACCCGATTCACCTTTAGACTAATTCAAATTTAGAGATTAGTTTTAGGTGGTTAGATTCCAATCTTCTCAATGATGTATTGACGTATAGATATCCAAATGTAGAATATCAATTATATAGTCCATGTCATGCATGTAACATGTTTGGTAGTTTGGTCGAAATTTATGAAGAGCAAAAACAGTAACGTATGATTAGTTCAACCCTAAACGAATCAAGAGACGTATAAAAACAAGGGGCCGGGCCGGATGGTCGGTTCTTGGATCAATGATTAGGATGATACACCCACACCCAAATCTACTTGCATCATATTATGCATGCATCATCTTTATATATGCATGTATTTTACTGTACAATTGCATTTAATTTCATATGCAACTTTATGGCATTCCATACATTCACCAAACCAAACCCCCTAAATAATACGGAATACTTCGTATTATTGATCCTTTTTTTTTTTTCTTTTTTTGGAAATTGTAAATCTTCATGCTTGTAGTCAGGGAGCATATTATAAACTAATAATACTAATAAAATTTAGGGAAATTCTATGATGTGCCTTTACTTTTTAAAACCTCTATATAGTAACCCGCAAGTTTATTTATTGATTATAACTAACTAATACAGACACTGCTAATGCCTCTCAACATAAAGTAATACAAACATGTAGTTAGGATAACTAACTAGGTTTCGATCTTGATATACCTCTCAACATAAAGAGCGAAATTTTGACTAATTGATCTGAATTACCCATAAAGTGCTTAATTTGGAGGTTGTGGTGAGATCATCCCATCCCACTAATGCACTTTGGGGTGAGAATTTCTTTACTTTTTTAATTTCTCCACTATTCACTCAAAAAGAGTCTTAGCTTGTTCACTAAATACAAGCAGGTTTGTCTAATATGTAGTATAAAATAGCGATCTGATAAGACACTTTCTCCTTAATTATACAATTTTGTATATAATGCACAAAATACGGAGTATCATATATAGCGTATATGGTGTATGTAGTATGTACATGATTATCATAAATTCATAACATGGAAGCAGGAAAAATGGTGGTCCAAGTAATGGCCGAACTGTTTTTACAGTATATATATAAAAAAAAGAGATAGTTTTAGGTTTTAAGCTAAATAAAAATATGTGGTGTTGTGTAGTTTAAAGAATGATGATTGAAGCAGCATTAGCAGAAAGAGGGGGCCAAAGAAGAAAGGAGGCGCACGTGGGCATGACAACAACGCTATCTAATTTGACTAGTCACTATTTTGTCGCCACTCACTCAATCACACTACTATAGGCTATACTACTAGATAATAATCTAATTTTGATGGACCAATTATTCAATTACAAGTATGTTGTTGTCCTTCTTTTCTTCTTCCTCCTTTCTTTCTTCTACATGTGAGAATGTATGAGACATTATCATCATGTTTTTTTGTGTGTGTTACATCAATTATCTTATTGGATCTCTTAGCTTTATGCTTATCAAAATATTAATCAATTTAACTTAACTAAGATCTTTTTCTACTTTTTCAACATTTATAAATGAATGATTGATTAGGAGTAACATTTAGGCCATGTTTGGTAAACGCCTTTATGATTAGCTTTTGGTTTTTAGACTTTTTATGTAATTAAACAGTCAAAAAAGTGTTTAGTAATCAACTTTTTATTTAGCGAAAAAGCTGGTTTTTAAGTCAAAATAGAAATAAAGGTTGTTAGTTTGTTGGCCCACAAATTATTTAATAAACAACCAACAACTAAATTTACCAAATACTTTTATAAACAACCAACTTAAACAACCAATTCAAAAAGCATTACAAATTGCCAAACATTCCAGCTGGTCAAACAAGCCAAGTAAACCAGTCAACCGCCAACAACCATTTGCCAAACAAGGCCTTAGGGACCTGTTCTCGTAGACTGAACTGAATTAAACTAAACTAAACTGAAATGAATATTTTATAAGAGAAGGAAATTAGGAGCTGAACTGAACTGAGCTGAGCGAGCTAAACTGAACTGGACTGAACTAAACTGAAAATAAACGTATGAGAACAAGCCCTTATTCTAATTTAATTTGGCATAATTCTGATTTGAATTAATCAGATATATTGGTCTAAGTAAATGTTGATCATAATTTCCTCTAACATTTAGAAAAATTGGCATTTTCTAGTGGGATATGACCGTTAAATTTGTCTCATTGTATTAATATTTTTATTTTTTTTACCGTGTATTAATTTATGCAAAATTAAAAGTAACATACTATGTTTGACAATATAGTATATGGTAAGTTTATGAAGTATAATAAGATGATAAAAATCGGATTCCAAAGCTTCAAATCAATATAATTGCGGCATTTCCAAACATGATTTTAAGTTTAGTTTGCTTAACTTTACTTTTCAAAAGTTGAATCTAAAGTCATGTCTACATCTAGGGCATCTTTATGTTTCCTCATACATCAATTATAACAGCAGTGATATTGATGATTAGCATTTACTTAAAAACTTAGGGTTTTTGTAAGGCTTGTTTTCATCAATCAATTTCTACTATTTCAACTAATCAACTTATTGATTTGCATGACATAAACTTTACTTTTGATAAATGTAACCTTTTTTTTTTTTTTTTTTTTTTTTAAAAAAAAAAAAACCTTATATTCAACAAGCATAATTGCATAACTTGAACTCCATCATTACAAAATAAAGAGCTACCTAAGGATTGTACTTAATTATTCAAATATTGATCGATACAACTAACTTTACAAGATCATATATGAATCATCATGCATGATCCTCCATGCCCAAACAAATTAGAAGGAAAAAGTGTGATACACGATATTTTTTGACATAAATTTTCTGCAAAATAATAACTCAAACATTGACCTTCTTTAGCAAAAGAAGCCAAACCATGTGAAATTGGAAAAAAATTCCACATAACATTTAAGTTATGGAGGGGGCAAAACTAACAGTAAACAAACAGAGTGGGTTTACCTATAATTGTCAAGCTATTTGTTGCAAAGAACGAATGTGCACGTGTGAGTGGGTTGTATCCCATATAATTTGGGAAAGACCTACCCTTAATTATAGAGGTCTATAAAGATTTAAGTCCCACAAAAAATAATGAAAACAAACAATAAATAATTTTTGGAGTTGGTAAGCGGTAACCCCTACAATTAATTGTGATGTTAGCTAAAGTAATTTAGAGTATTCCTTCTTCAATTAAGTAAATACTGGCTTCACATAGACTCCAAATGACATTCTTAATACCAAGTATGATTCATGAAGTATATTACGTAGTACTACGTAAGTACAAATTAATGTATGATGTATACTCCATTCTAAGCAATCATCTTCACTCATTTATCCAATCAAATCACAGATAGGCTACGCGATTTCCTCATTTAAATTAATATAAGTTGTCTTCTATTAATTAAGGTGTATTAGCCATGTTAATTAATTATTGAATTAGGATATTATGCATGATTGATGTGATCGCGACTCTTAAGCTAATCAAAACGAAGAAATTCATTAGACAATAATATTCATGAATTAGTTTTAATCGGTAAGAATAAT